CGTAATTTACGAGACTCGCATATACGCGCATTTTAGCATGCGTATATATGGGTCCTTGTAGGACGCGTATATTTGGGCATTTATTTCGCATATCCCCGTGCTTGAATTTACGCAAATATGTGGCCCTTTAAAAATGCGTATATACGCGATCTAAATGGTCGTATATATGAGCTTAAAGCCCATACGTAACGTATATAAACAAGTATACGCGGCAGAAAAACCCGCGTATACTCTGTCGTAATTTTGAAAGGAATGGCCAACCATAAAAAGACGTGTTCATTTGAGGAAACCAAAAGCATATTCTAGCTTCATTAAATATCACTGAATAAGTACACCGCTGAAGCCATAAAACGGCTGCTATAATGGGGTTACACCTGTCTTACAGGTTGTGATGTTTAATTGAAAAAGTCTGCCAGACTTTTCCAGAATTGTCGTCTTGTCTCGGAAAAATCACTAAACACTAATTTCAATTTGTTCTCGCTTGAGCATTTCGCATAACATCTTCATCTTCGCGTTTTCATTTCTTAAGGCATTTCGTGCATGATTAAAGTACGTAGACATAATTTTAGCACGGTGCTTTCGAATTGGACGGGAGCTATGAACTATTGACTGTCAGTACCAATAAGGTAAAAAAGGCTAAGTCTGCATACGAACCATTTATACACTATTTATACACCTCGGTGGAGAGAGGCACTGTGAGAGTAAAGTGTCTTGCCCAAGAACACAACATAATGACCCCGGCCAGGGCTCGAACCCGGACCGCTCGATCCGGAGGCGAGCGCGCTAACCGTGAGGCCACCGCGCCTCCCAATAAACCACGTAGATAATGCAGCCGTTTCGAATCGTGATTTCCAAGCTTTTTTAGTACAGTGTTACGTTCTTTTAACTCCTGCTTGGTTTAGTGAGCCAAAAATGACTAATGTTCAAGCCGGCCAATTACCTATCCCTTATCCTGACACTTATTTCAAACAATCGTACTTGGTATTGACACTGATGCTGGGTCGCTTTTTATCAGGATTTCTCGACGCGATCTTTGAAGGAAGATGACTTCTCGCCGTCCAAAGAATCAGCTGGCACAAATGAAGAGTGGGACATTGCTCCTTTCCAGCTGCGGAGACGATGGGAGGGAAGGTACGACCTTTGCACACCTTGTTTGTCGAGCTGGAATTTGTAACATCATTAGATACCTGTCGCAAAATTGAGTTTGTTATTTTGTTATTCAGCCCACATCCTTACATCTTTTTTAACCGGCCGAATAACGATACCATGACTTTTCTTGGGTTCCGAGTTGACGAAGACGGGAATCTACTGGATCCTCGAACAGAAGAAGTTATACAAGAAAGGCTCATGACAAAGCATCTTCGCACAGGACTTCATGTCCAAAGAGTGGATTTCAACACTGACTTTGAGTCCTATTCCAAGTACGTATCTTACATCGCTTATCTGAAATTGAAATTAACAATATAAGATAGATATATAGATACCTTAGGTTGGGCACCACCACGCGGACTTTCTTAGGGCCACATATATGTTGTACAATCCCATCTTGGGTGGCCGAGAAGTTGGACATAAGGTAGTGGTCGGAGTGTAGGATTTCAAACCGGAATGCCGGATTCTACCTCACTTAACAATCGTTGCCCGTCGCCGAGTGGTAATGGTGCAACGAATGGTAATGGTGCCGTGTGTTTCCAATGCATTTACAGTATTAAGTGGTCGTTTGTCAGAGATTCGATTTTAATTTTGACGAACTGACCTTAGAAACAATTGTCTTGTAATCTCATTGATGTGACATTTCAATTTCAGACCTCAAAAAATTCAGCTGCTATGTTCTGTCATGGGGATGGAATGCGCAT